ACTGCCATTACCACTACCACTGCCACCACCGTGAACACTACCATTACTACTCTAGCTGCTGCTCCTTCTGCTTCCTCTAATGCTAAATATTCGCCAGCTGGTGGTGATGATAATAACGATGGTGTTGATACTGAAGTAGTGAACAAGCCCATATGCCATCCAGGGTCAAAGCCGCACAAAAGCTCGGAAGCGTCGGCAGCAGCCCACAACGCTGTATTTCGGCCTTGCAGCATAAAACATGCAGGTCCCGGTATGGCTCAGGCACATACGGTGTGCAGTCTTAAAGCCTCTTGTTTTCCGGATGTGTAGCATAGAACCAACAGCTTGCGATCCAGAAGGAGTCAAGGCGTCACACCCTACGCATCCCTGTCGACGGCATTGGCTCACGCCTTCGCGAACAATTACATGTTTCAAAACCCTCTGCAACTCATCAAGGTGACTCCGGAACAAAACTAGCCACGATTCCTGACCCCAGACGCTCAAGAGGAATGGCTGGGCAATGCTAATAACTCATGGAAATCCATCCCTGACATATCCTAGTGTGAAGGAGCCGAAACTACTTGGTTCTTACGCTAAGCAGACTTGGGCCCCGTCGAGCAAGAAGAGAGCATGGAGCCAGGCAAAACCTGCCCAAAAGCGTCTGTGCTCGCCCAAAAGCGCACTTCCAAGTCCTGAAGCACCGAAGTTCTAACTCCAAAGAAAACCGGAGACTACAAGACAGGAGATTTGCCAAAGATGTGAGCACAAATCTTAACTCTGACCTCAGGCCTATGCCTGTAATCCTTGTAAACTGTTGTAAACGACTACAAGCCAACAGCCACTACAGTAGCCTTGGCTGCCAGCTGCAGGCCGACGGAGTCGAATCCGGCAACCGCGGCAAAAAGACGACAACCACCCGCAAAAAACGGACACGGGCGATGGCGATCCCAACCACGACGGCCAGAAGTGAACAGAAATGTCACTTGCATGATGTTCGATTTGTTCTCTCGCCGAATTGTTGCACAGGCTTTTATCGGATGAGTCTTTACTCTACAATGACAAAGTTTCAAAGGCCTTGTTTGGGGGCCTGCCGTACAATGTCCCTCCTGCTTCCGTCAGACTTGTTTCCTCCATTTTCTTGCTGCGACTGCGACGGGTCCATCCCATTTACCTTGGATGATCGCCAAGAGCCTTTAGTGGGCCTGAGGCTTGGCTTTGGAGGGTTTGGGAGCCTGTTCTAGGCATGTAAACCGGCCTGGAATCTTTAAAGAAATTTCAATTGGCCTGAGCCACGGTTTTGGAGGGTACATATTACTACTGCGAGAATAGACTGAACAACCATTGTACAACAATAACAGCAAGAACAACAACAACAACAA